ATTTATGATGCAGATTAAACTTTAAAGTGTCATGTCTGCAGCCATTACACTCCGAATAGCGAAAATTGAAGCAGTATTCAAAAACCTACACCTGATTTGGCAAAGAGGTTGCTCACTGCTGATGAACGAGTGAAGTTCTGACTCATAGATCTTCATTGTGTCACTTTCATCTTACTTGTTAACATAAATGAATACATCAACCGACATTTATGTTGGAACTATGCTCATCCATCAGTTGCAACCACAGGTTGATTACGGATACAAGACTTCAGCAAAAATAAACCAAAGCATCTGTATTGATTGGATACATGGCATTTCAGTACAGAGTACTGTGTGCATTACTATTGTAAATTGATTATGTCAATAAAGCTTATAATAAACACACACACATACCCCATACATATATCCCTCTTCCCCTCCTTCTTTGGAGAGCTGGTTGCTAGACATTTACTGGGTTGATTGCTCATGCATGTTACAGTCCATCATGGGCCTGTTCACACCCCTCGCTCTGGGCCAGATGATGGCACTTGCACCATGTGCAGAGTTGGTGGGGCAGGGGAAGCGGGCCACACTCAGACTCACTGGCTTTCAAAGGCTCCGTGTAGAAGCGACATGCACTTCCCTGTTCCTATTCCACTGTCAGTAGAGAGCCGCGTGGCCACGCCTACTGTAAGTGAACAGAGAAGCGCGATTCTGTCGTGTGCCCAGAAGGAGCGGGAGACCTGGAACGCCCGTGCACAGCCCCATCACCCCACGGTACATTAGCGCTTGTGCGCGTATTGTCTGCCCCAGTCCCACAATGAACGAACGTCGCACTGGAGAGTGTTTTGTCTCCTGTAGTCTCCTGGAGGATCTTGAGACACTCAAAAAGTACTTAGCGAAGCTGAGAGACTGGCCTGAAGGAGGAAGTTTCTGGAAGTAAGCCCTCATGGATAATGGAGAGTCATCTGAATCTTGAAAAGCAATGTGCTCCTATCACCCCTCAGCATACTATATGCAGCTGGAAATGTGTGACACAGGAAGCCACACAGATGCATGTGGCTGTGTCCTTTAAACAGGCCTATGGCCAGAGAAGGAACGAACCCTGGGGGTGACTTCAGACTGACCCAGGCTGGGACCAGGGTGAGGCCCACAGACATCAAGGACAGTATCATTCAGGTTGGTGCAGGTCTAGGGCCAGCCCTCAGAAGTTAGGTTTTGGCCCCTGGGTTCTTTGCTGGTCTCACCTCCTCCTGGCCCCCGGGCCAGCTCTTCTTTAGGAACTGCTGCTTCCAGAGTTAAACAGATAACCCCAGCCCTACTGGCTGCTTCTTCCCAACACAGCCGCATGGTAGTGTAGGCAAGAGAATTCTGAGCTGAGGCAAAGTTTTCTTCACTCTCTGGCTCAAAGGCTTCATTAAATCCTGGGGGCTGAATTAAGGCTCCGAGTGCTGAGCAGGATGACAAAAGTAATAAGCAGGGGCCTTATATGTCCTAGAAGTCTCAGGTGTCTACCTCGGGTTGGAACCTTGGAGCTCAGGAGTATGCTGTGACTCCAGGTGGGTTTACTATTTCCACACACCAGGGAGGCACCCGTGCCACTTCAATTTGTTGGCTATCTACTATGTGCCAAGGCTTTCCTATACGGTGCTTCATTGCCAGTACCCACGTCTACTAGTTTTGGCATTTCCTATTTGCTAAAAAAGGAAACTGAGTCTGGGGAGATTAAGTAACTCTTCTGAAGTCAAAAGGAAAGTGGCAGAACCAGGATTTGAATGAAATCTTTCTGACTCTGATATCTGGTCCCTCTCAATGAGGACGCCTCCATCAACCTGTGAGAAAAGACTAGAAACCCGATCATTCAGGCAACACAAACTCAGGACCCTGGGTTTTACTGGTGTTAAAAAAAATACCAGCATAATTTCCACATTTAATTCACATGACAAACGTCCATTGACTTGAAATAAATTCCAGTTGGACCATAACAGCTTTTTTTTTTCTTTCAATTTTTATTGAACACAAGTATTCTGACAGAATGCAAAGTCAAAATTCTCAGTTAGTACTCAGTATTTACACCAGTGAGAATGGAAACAAAGGTGGTATCGATGTTTCACTTGGTAAAAAGTTTGTAACAAGAGAGAAGGCCCCCGAAGTCGGGAATGCTGGGTAGAGATGTTAATGGAGATCTGATAACCACCATCCAGACAGACAGCCTACAGTGAAAACCTGGGAGTTGGAAGGCTCCATAGAAAAGTGTGAAAACCGCGTTCCACTTCAAAGCTGCATTATATACACTATGGCCCTTCAGGGTTCGGAGGCCCCACGCGTGGCACCCGAGTGCCCCTCTGGCAGAACCTGGCCACGCCGGTCTTTATGTGAATACATATGTATGGCACATACACATATAGACACATAGACAGTGGAAACTGGTAGGGTGATCCCTCCAAAAAATTAAAAAAGGAAAACTATAAGCTTTTATCTCTTAACATAAAAGATACAACGTCTTGAAAATAAAGCGACTCCCTCTATGATTTTAGAGAAAGCATTGCTCTGATTTGCTTTTTATTTTTCAAAGAAAGGAAAGCTCACGCATGCAGAGACAAATCTACGTGTGACGGGAGAGAGGCAGAACAAAAGGCTGGCAGTTTGGGGTTCCAGCAGAGCCGGGGTCTGGGGAGGGGGTGGGTGGGGAGTCAGCTGCCCTGGGCCAGGTTATCTGAGGGTCGACCATACCTCTTTCTCCTCCTAACCACCAGAACCAAAATCAGTTCACTTGACCACAACCCCTTAAAGAGAGATGCACAGTCTCAGTGAGGTATAGTGTGGGCTTGGCTGAGGTGGTCGAAGCCATTACCATCCCAAGATGAGGAATCGATTCCACTGACAACCTGGGGAACCAGAGGAGCCCGCCGCTCCCAGCTGGGCCCTCCCTTCTGTCTCAGACGCCCAGGAGCTCCCACCTGCTGCGTGCTCTAACCACTGTCTCTGTCCTGGGGGCCTGTGCATTTGAACCAAAGATTTGTGCAAGCCCTAAGGTCAAAGGGCCAGACCTGTGTAGACCCGGATCCTCCCTTTCCATCCCCAGGAGCTGAGAAAATGCAAAATAACCGCACACTAAGCAAATGACAAGACCATTATTTTTCACAGTTTGAAATAATCTAGCATAGCGCCACTGACCAGACTGCAGAAGTGTCAGAACACGGGGAGTGTGGCCCACAGACGGACGCAGAGGGAGTCTTGCCACCCTAACTTCTGGCTGCTTCCTCTGTACCTTGGGAAAGGTACCCGCAGAGTGCTCATTTCTGTTGACTTAGCATCATCTTCATCATTATCATCGTTTCTATTTCATTCTTTGTTTAAAGGCTTCAATTCCTTTTAAGAGTTATTTTTTGTTTCCTGAATGTTTTTTTTTTTTTCTGAACTATCTGCTATACCTTCCACAACCAAACTATGTTGAAGTTTTATTTCAATACTATGACAAAAACACGTTTCACACTAAAATATTCACGCATCCACAGTGCACAAGCTTGCAGTTCTAAAGTAGAATGAGGAAAAAAAAAAGCAAAATTTCTATACAAAGGGCTGGCTTTTCCCTTCTCCCCCCTCCCATCCCCCTTAAAGTTTCTGTATTTTTTTTCCCCCCACTTGGTTTCCAATCCAGGAAAAGTTGTCTTATGACTCCAGACAGCAGGTTGTTTTTTTTTTTCTTTTGTTTCTACAAATGCTGCCTAAGTGAACAGAAGGCTGATGTTATTTTACTTCAACAGATTTCCAAAAAAAGACACTAATTCCCTGAAGCACACATGCTCTTCCGCTCAAATCTAGATTCTGGGCTCAAAAGGAAATTGTGTGTATATATTTTATTTGGCTTCCTACAAAAAAGGGGATGTTTGGGGTAAAAATGTGTGTTCACCAAGACCAGCCCCGACTATACAATCTTCTCTGCTTCATTCAACAAAGCCTAAGAGTCCTTCAAAAGGAAGGGTGGGGACGCCTGGGGAGCAGATCCTTTTCACAGATACGGGCAGGTGGTCGCTAATCAGAAGTGGTCTAACCCCCAAGGAAACAAAAAAAACAAAACAAAACACGGAACCGAAAACCCAAAAGCAAAACCGTTTCAGAATGAGATGGATTTTCACCTGAGTCGCACACAGGCAAAAATTTCAAATCAGAAGTGGGGGAAGAGCCACTGTAAACAGTTAGATTTTGTAAAGTTGTCCTGGGAGGATCCTACACCTCTAGGCAGTATTTGTAACTTTAAAAAAAAAGGCAGCTATTTTACATGGACATCGAAACACAACTGAAGTCAAACATTTGTCAACTTGTAAACACTGGAAAGCAAAGTTGGCAGAAAGAAAAAAAAAAAAAAAGGAGAAAGAAAAGAAATCCGAATACTGCAAATTGAGATCTACCCCCAGAAGCTGCATTTGGCATTCTTCCTACAAAACAAGAGTCTATGTGGGAATTGAATTCAGCTAGGAAGGGCGACACACTTTGCATACTGAACAAATACAAAGTGAACAGAAATTATAACTTATTTATGAGGTTTTACAGAGTTCAAACTCGACTGAAAGTAGAAAAATAAACGTGGACTTTGTTCATTCGGTTAGTCTTAGCGTCTGGAAGTTATTTCTCTGAACCCGGTCTGTGCCGGTTCGGCAACACCAAAATCCTGAACCTAGATTCTTTTTTCTTCTGAGCTTCCTAGATTCTTAATTTGGGGTCCTTTTGTTTGATTTTTAAATGGTTTCAGGGAACCGAGTGTCCTAGTTTGGCTGTGGGTTTCACGTTTTTGTCTCGTTTTCTTACAAGTGAGTGCGCAACAAAGGAACCCTTTCTATAAATCTACAAAAAGGAGATCCCATGTTGATCTGCTTAGTTTTTTTTTTTAAAGGCAAAAGACACTAGAGGAATGAGATGTGTGTGCGCGTGTGTGTGTGTGTGTGTGAGATATTGGAGATGCTCTGGTGAAGCTGTTGTGTCACTTTTTATTTTGATCTTTGCTGGTGTCTCGTCACCCATCACGCTTTGCTCTCGTTCTCCTTTGTTTGTGTGGCATCATTGGGGACCGTCTGGACTTCGGCTGGCGCTGGCTTCGTTTCTGTCTCCGGCTTTGCTTCTACGGGACCCTTCCTGCAGAGAATTGGGAAAACAGCACTGAGATCACCGTCTGCCGTAAGCCACCCTCCAGCCAGTCCCTCAAAAGAGCACTGGACTCCAACTTCAGCTGCATGTCCGGATCACCTGGAGCCCCTGAAAATCACTGACCCTGGGCCGTGTCCCCAGAAATCCTGGTCTCCTGGGTCAGAATGTGGTGACTTTTAAAAGCACCCAAGTGGTTCTAGATGTGCAGCCAAAGCGGAGAGCCGATGAATCAGAGGAAGGCACCCTTCTAGCCCTGGCCTGATGTCGGGGGGCTCCAGCTTTGCCTGGAGTGTGGAAGTGTGTCGGGAGCAGCCTCCTCTCACCCTGCATGGGTGCTGCAGCAGCAGCTGCCCAGCTTGGTCTAAATGATGCGTGTGTTGGGCTCCCCGGTACCGATTCCAGGGGACCCTCTGCAAATCGCCTGCGCTTGCCTGTCTGCACTCCCACCGCGCTGTGCTCTGCCTTTCTTGGTGATGCCTCTGTAGGGCTTTCCCCTGGCAGGATAAGCAGACGCTGTTTGTTACCATGCCAGTTTTCCATGGGAGTCTGGTGAGAGGCTGGAGTGGGCTGCCAGGTTCCAGGGGAGCTGAGTGGGGTTGGGTGGGCAGGGCCGTCCTTTTATTTCCCTACAGACTCAGGACTCAGGGTGAGGGTCCCCCCGTCACTCTGGGTGGCAGCACCCCAGCTTATCTGGGAGCAGCCAAGGAGCCTCTGTAAAAACCTCCATCTAACTCAGTTGCTCCTGGCTCCAGTCAGTCCCGGGAGTGAGAAGCTGGTCTAAGGACGCACCAGAGGAGGCTAAGACTCCAGGCCCAGCTGGTACCCCTGCACGCTGGCCTCACATTTAAGAAACCTGTACACTGAAGGACCTGGCCTTGAACTTGGGAAACCCGGCCCTCATTCAGGGCTTGGGAGCTTGAGTCTCTCCCGAGTCACTCGGGGCAGGAGCAGCAGAAGCAGGTGGGTTGGGTGTGTGGGCGTCCGGGCTGGGGTGTCTCAGGGCCTTCTGGATCAGATCCTACCCACCCTCCCCCGCCCCCCGCCAAGCCTCAGGGTCTGCCTCTTCACTGCCTGCACCGCCATGCTATGGTGGTGGGGACTTGGCCTTGGCCCTGATGATACCCCGCCCACGGGCCCTAGGGTGGCCGATCAGGGCACCTTGGCCTCCTTAGCTCACTTCCCAAGCTATGCTCATCAGCGAACCAAATGCAAGGGCTCCTCCAGGGACAAGAGATGCCACCGCTAGGATGATAAGGATAAAACGTAATTAACACGGCCTAATTAGTAAGCAGGCGGCTGCCTGCCTGTCCCCCGCTCTCTGCCTTGGCCCAGCCCCTGGCTGACGGTCGCCTCCAAGAAGCCCTGGATGAGGCTGCAGACACAGCTAACAAGGAGGACACAGCACAGACGCACACCACCACGGACACCACCCGAAGACAGCGGACAGAGAGAGGCCGTACTCGGTCTTGGCTGGTGCAGGCGGAAGAGAGCCGTCGGCCGTGGAAGGAGCAAGCTCAGAGGCTTGTCCACTGGCCCCAGCGGCGGGAGCAGGAGAGCCCAGGGCTGCAAAAACATCCTTGGCAAGGTCAATATCTGGGGTCTTGAAGTTCCCTTCGTCCATTTTAAAGTCCTCGCCCGGGGCAGGGTTTGTGGTGCTGACGGAGGCCGCCTCGCTCTTCGGGCTGGTGAGGACCCTGGCGGCCTCGGGTGGGCTCTTCGAGGCGCCGGACTGGGTGGGCTCGGGGTCCGGACCTTTGGTGCCGGGGGCCTCCTGCTTGGCCTGGGGGGCTTCCGGGGCGGGGGCCGTCGGGGCTGCTGCCAGGGGACTGGCTGCCGACGGGGAGACGGCCTTGCTGGCTGGAGGGGCCTTGGGGGCCTCGCCCGCGCTGGCCGGGGCGCTGGGGCTGAGCACGGCCCCCTGGTTGGCCAGCACGCTAGAGGACAGGTTGCTGGCGGCCGGGGCCGAGGACGGAGGGTCGCTCAGGTCAACGAGGGGCGCGACCTTGGGGGCTGGGGCCGGGGCCGGGGAGGCGGCAGAGACGCCGGACCCCTTGGACGGGGCGGCCTGGCCGGCGGGCACAGAGTTTGAATCAGGGGTGGCCGCGACCGGGGGGGCGATACTGGAGGTCAGGGTGGTGGTCTCACTGGTGGGGCTGTTCTGAGCAGTGGCAAAGGTTTCGGTGATAGTGTCAGAGTTAGCGGTGACGGTGGTGACAGAAGGCAGCATGTCCTCGACAGTGGCTGTGGTGTCAGCAGGCAGCCTGCGGGGAGGACAGGAAGTAGAAGAGATAGACGATGAAGCTGAGACAGACAGAGAAGCCGAGACAGGGCGGAGGCCAAGGCGGGGGCCGAGGGCGGGCATGCGGGGACGCACAGGCAGGACACAGGCCCACAGAGAGAGGAGGGCGCGGGAGGCAGCACAGGCCCGGGCGGGCAGAAGAGGACACAGGAGACGACAGAGAACGTGGCAGCTGGCGGGGGCCTCTCGCCTTCCTCCCTGCCGACTCCCCGCCGCCTGCCTGTCCCTACATCTGCAGCGGGCCTTGCAGAGCCCCGCTCACGCCCCGGCCCAGGGAGAGGCCAGCTGAGCTCAGCGTCCACCACCGCGGGCATCCGAGGTCGCTGGGGAATCGGGCCCAGCTGCCTCACAGAGAGGGGCTCCGCGTGGCCCCTCAGGGCTGGGGCGCTGTCCAGCCAGAGACTCTGCGCTTCCATCAAACTCCATTCCCTTCAAACCCACGGTTCCCAAGACAGCCTGGCGTTCATGACAGCCAAAGCTGGCTGTGCCTTCTGACTGAGGGTCCTCAAGGCTTAAGAGACCAGCAGGGCCAGGCTTTACCAGGTCCCCAGCTTCCCTCACCCTTTTAGGAAGAAAGGCAGAAAACCCTAAAATTCTTGGAAATCCTAAACAGAATCTGCTAAGCTCTCTCAGTGACGCTTTGTCTCCTTGAGTCATTTCCGGTGTGTGTGTGTGTGTGTGTGTGTGTGTGTGTGTGACCTGGGCCCAGGGTCTAGGGATCCCACTGATGCACAGAGCTCTTTAATGTCATCCACAGTCACCCAGATACGACCACGAATGCCTCCTCTCTGAGGAGAGTGGGGTCAGGCATTCCTGGCCCAGGACTCCAGAATTCTGGCTGGTGATACCGGGCCCGGAGCCGCGGGCGGGAAGCGCGGAGGTGTGGGTAGGGCGCTGAGGCGGGTGTGGGGCTCTGCCAGGGAGGGCCCGGCCCCACCCGCCCACGTACTCGGGCTCCGTCAGCGGCGTGGTCTCGTTGGGCTCCGTGTGTTTCCCTCCGTCGTGGTTTGGGGTCCGCTCCTCCTCCGTTCGCACCTCCACGATGGGCTCCTTGGACTCGTCTTTCCTGTGGAGAGAGCGCCGCTGGTTCCATACCGGGGAGCTGGGGGAGGCAGGGGGCTCCCAGGGAAGCCAGCCACACTCGGATACCTGCTCCCAGCCCCAGTCTGGCGGGGGTGCGGTGCATCCAGAGCCAGAGCCCAGGGCTGTATCTCAGCCCCTGTTCCTGCCACCTGTGTGACCCTGGGCACCTCATCTGCTCACCCATGCCTGTGCCCTCACCTGTAAAATGTGGCAAGTACAGTCTCTACTTGCCTAGATGTTATGAACATCAACTGAGACAACGAATAGAAAGTACTGAGAAAAGCACCTGGCACAGATTAGTACTCAAGTCATCTATGTGTGTATACACGGTCAATATGTATATGCATACCTATGTGTATATGTAAGAATGAACAAGTATATCATGTACGTACACGTGCAAGTATATATAAGTATACACAAGTCTATGATGCATGTATGTGCATATTTAAGTATATGTACATATATATACATTTAGGTAAAAATGTACATGAACACCTGAGTATATAAATGTATATGATACATATATAAGTATATGTATATGTAAGTTTGCACATGTACCTCTATTTGTAAGTATATGTAAACATGCACACATATATGTATATGTAAGTATGTACACGAATATGATGTATGTATAAGAAAATGTACATGTAAGTACACACATGTATACATGTGTGTGTCTACCTATATGGACTTCCATGGTGGCACAATGGTAAAGAATCCCCCTGCCAATGCAGGAGACTCGGGTTCAATCCCTGGGTTGGCAAGATTCCCTGGAGAAGGGAATGGCAACCTACTCCAGTGTTCTCGCCTGGAGAATCCCCCACAGAGGAGCCTGGTGGGCCACAGTCCACGGGGTCGCAAAATAGTTGGACATGACTCAACTTCCTAAGAGACTAAACAACAACAATGTATGCGTATATGATGCATGTACATGCACATACTGTAGTACACGTATGTGATGTATGTATATGCAAGTACAAACACATATGTGTATGAGTAAGTATGTATATTGGAGAAGGCAATGGCAACCCACTCCAGTGTTCTTGCCTGAAAAATCCCACGGACGGAGGAGCCTGGTAGGCTGCCGTCTATGGGGTCACACAGAGTTGGACACGACTGAAGTGACTTAGCAGCAGCAAGCATGTATATGATGCATGTAAAAGTATATGTATGTGTACACGATACACAGTGCCTGGCATGGGGTGGTGCTAACAACCCAATTCCTTGCTCTGTCCTTTCTGACCTTGCTCCGGCTCAGCCCCGCCTGCCGATAGTCTGTGAGGGTTTCTCTATTTGGCTCAAGATTTGTTTCTCCAGAGATGCTGGAGCACAGCTTGTCTGGATCATCCTCCAGGAGGACAGGCATTTTCATCTGTTTTGCTCACTGCGTGCCCTAGCACTTGGCGACGGCGCCATGCCCACAGCAGCTGCTGCCCCATGAATATCTGGTGAGTGATGGAGGCACGGGTGGCGGCAAGGCAAGTGGGTCTCTCCACGGCAGCTCCCCTCCAGGCTAGGCTCTGACCGCACCCCTCATTTTGATCTACATAGGGAATCTCTATGAGATTCTAGATGTGGGGCTGGGTTCAGGAGTCTGCTTTTAACATTTCTCTAACGCCTCGCGTCGCTTGGGGCTTGCAATGGGAAGGCTGAAGTGGCTCCCTGATGGGGGCCCCCGGCCTGGGTGCTGAGCAGTGGGGCTGGGGGGGCAGGTCTGCACTCACGAGAAGGCGGCTTTGCCCTCCTCCATGTCCTTGCCCTTGGCTCCGGGCCCGGCTTTGCCACACAGGTTGACGGCGATGCACATGAGCAGGCCACACTTGTTGAGGAAGTAGCAGGTGACGTCCACGGCCACCAGGAGCAGGACGAAGGTCACGACGAGGATGCCCACGATGGCGCCAGTGCTCAGGCCCGAGGTGGGGCCGCCGTTGGCTTGGGTGGGAGGGAGAGAGGGATGGGGGTGGTTAGTACCTGCAGATGCAAACCCAGACCTGAAGAGCAACAGCCCTGGGGGTGGGGTAGAGCCCGCTGGACGGCCACAGCATTTGTGTCCAGAGTGCCACCGTCCCTGGGCCTTTTGGGGGTTGAGACATCAGGGTCTCTTCCTATCTTCAAGACAGAGGAATGGCAGCCTGCTCTCAGACCAGGGGACGGGGCACAAGGCAGCCACCAGCCCGGACAGGAGCCCAGACTCGCACCATGTCTCCGCCTCTGGTCTCAGCCCGCACTTGGCTGGTCTCCCCAGGAGCCCTGGGAGCTGCCCGGGGCAGGGTCCCAGATAGGGGATGAGGGTCTCAGATGGGGGAGCAGAGGGTCCCCAGGGCTCCTTTTGGGCTGTGGGGACATCGGGGACAAGATGCCCCGTGCCTTCCTGCTCTTTAGGAATTGCTCCAGAGGATCTCGACTTTGGACCACACCTTCCTTCACTGCACTAGGAAGATGGAGGAAGCCCCCCTGCTCTGGAGACATGGGGGTCTCCCCAGGCCCACTGGGCAAGGTAGAAGGTCTGGGAATACTCACCATCTGGGAGCCAGGCCCGCTTGGATTAGACTTCTGGAAACCCAGCAGACTCACCCAAAGATACACTCCCCCAACGGCAGGCCCACTCACACGGGACACGTGCCCACCACAAGACAAACGCACCCTCTCACATTTGAGCAATGCCCAGCATCCCTGCTCTGGCTGGACCCACTCGAATGACCACCTCTGTCTTACTCCCTGGTGTCCCCCTAGAATCCTCCACGGCCCTGGGCTACTCGTGGTGTCACGGAAGGACCCCAGGCTCAACTCCAGAGCACCTCCTCTGGTTCGTGCTAGGTGCCTGCGGTGAACTCCGGATTGCCTGGGGGTTCCCACCAGCTTCAGAAAGGCAGAGGCTGTGCTGGGGGGAAGCAAGGGCCCATGCAGAGCTCTGTGGAAGCCAGTGTGGAACCACGGCCTCAGACTGAAAAATCTGTTTCACTTTCCTCTTCTGGGAGGACAGGGTTAAGGACAGCAGCGTCATCCTACCACCAGACCTTGTCTGAAGCTTCCTGTGTCCTCCAGGCCCACTGGGATGACCTGTCTGTGGACTGGAGGCAGGAACTGTGGCCAACACAACCTGGGTCTCCCTAGGCCTTTGCCTGGGGGGCTGCTGGCCACATCACATGCCAGTTCATGGAAGGAACAGGTAACCCAGGGTGACGGAGATGGAACACATCCTCTTTCTGCACGTGGTCTGTGTTCCTGTGCCCCAGAGCCCCGCTCAGGCATGGTGGGGCTGTCCCATCCTGATGGTCCTTATTTCTAACTTCAATTCAGGGTCTGGGCCACCGGCCAAGCAGCTAAGAGACGACCTCTCACAACCTACTTTCTGCACCAGAGGAGCCGCCTAGGATCTTGAATATTTTGGCCTCCTTTGCTTCCCAGCCCCTCGCCAGGCTCTCCCACTGGCCCCTTTCAACCCAGGACTGAAGACACGGCCTGTTTCTCAGGAAGACCCGAGTCTGGTGACCGGCTCCACGCTCAGGGCACCCGGCTCTGGTCACTCTGTCTCTAGGTTTTGGCAGCAGGAAATTGACCACGGGTCCCTACGGTCAGCTAGAGCTGATCTCCCCAGCACCACACCGTCCACTCTACCTCTCCAAGGTGCTCACACATCCACACACAAAAGGCAAGAAACAGCAATGCAGGCCTTGCTGGTCTTCAGAATCCCAAAGCTGCTTCCCCGAACAAGAAGAAATACGGCCTTGGGTTTCCTCCCCATCCTGTGACTTAGGGCTGGAGGCCACTGTGGTCTCCTGACCTCCGTACCCAATAGGTGTTAACTGTCTACTTCCTGCAGAAGGAGCCTAAGGTATTCCTGCAGGGAAAGAATGTCTGTACTTTTGGACTCAAAGGCCCTAACACCATGTTCTGAGGTTGATACATAAATATAGTTTTAGGGGACTAGTCACGTCTCTAAGGAAGGAAAACAAACCACCGCAAAGTGGTCTGTGTGGGAGAGGCAGCCATTATCCACCCATGCCCTGGGCTCAGCAGACCCTCTGGAGGGCTGCATGGCTTGGAAGGCCAAGGCCAACATCACGAGACGTTTGGGGAAGGGCCAGGAGGGCAATAAGACTGATATAAAACAGAAGGCAGGGCAAGAGGTCTTTCCTCTCATTTGACATAAGATTCAAATTGCTTTCCCTGGTCTAATAAGTCCCATACATACGGTGGACTCTCCCACGCCTCTGACCGTCATAACTCAGGACACTTTCTACCCATATCTACCACATTACTCTGTTTTACTCCCTTCTTGCCTTTCCAGGTGACTTAGTGGTAAGGAATCTGCCTGCAATTCAGGAGATGTGGGTTCAATCCCTGGGTTGGGAAGATTCCCCTGGAGAAGGAAATGGCAACCCACTCCAGTATTCTTGCCTGGAGAATCCCATGGACAGAGGAGCCTGGTGGGCTACAGCCCATGGAGTCACAACAAGTTTCAGACACAGCGACCAAACAACAATTTAGTGATTAAACAACAATTCCCTTCTTACTACTATTTCCATCTGCCATTTTCTGTTCATTGACATGAACAGAATTTTTTTTTCTTTTTTTTTTTTTTGCCACACCGTGCAACATGCAGAATCCTGGTTCCTGGACCAAGGGTTGAACCCACACTCCCTGCAGTGGAAGTGCTGAGTCTTAACCACTGGACGACCAGGGAAATCCCCATTGATGTGCTGTTTATGTGGCTGCCCCACCCTCTAGAATATCCTAGCAGGCATATTTGTCTCTGAGTATCTCGTCTCCCCGGAAAGTAACACAACTCAACTTACAAGAATGTTTACAGAATATTTGCTGCACAAATGAGCAGTGTTTAGCCTTGGAGATGAGAACTCTGCCTCCAAATACTTAAAGATATGTCACAAGAAGGAAGAGGTAGTCTCAACCAGGGCCCCCAGTGGATTGAAATGAAGGGGGTGGCAGGCAAACTTCAGCTCATATGAGAAAGAACTAGCAAATAAGGGGTCTTCAGACATGGTGTGAGCTGCCTTAGAAGATGCGCTCCCCATTGCCAGGGGTATTAAGCAGAGGATGGAAAACCCCTTGGTCAGGAGGCTGCATTGCTCTGGCTGAGGCTCCCGCACTGGGCAGGGCCTGGGATAGAAGGTGTTTTCAAGCCCTCTGTAACTCTAAGAGCCTGTCACTGCACGCTAGATGTCTTACAGTTCCCAGCAAAGGACGCTTCTCCTGCTAAGTCGCTTCAGCCGTATCTGACTCTTTGGGACCCCACGGACTGTAGCCCGCCAGGCTCCTCTGTCCAGGGGGATTCTGTAGCAAGAATACTGGAGTGGGTTTCCAAGCCCTCCTCCAGGGAATCTTCCCTACCCAGGGATCAAACCTGTGTCTCTCATGTTTCCCGCATTGGCACGTGGGTTCTTTATCACTAGCGCCACCTGGGAAGGCCCCCAGCACAGGACATAGGTTCCTTAATGTCCATCTCCTCCACGGTGTGTACCAAGTGGGACTTTTTCCTTTAAGACCGAAACACTTAGTCGGTCCCATCTTTATTCACAGATTCTTGTGATTTTTATCTCTAGTTGAAAAATAAATACCTTTTAAGCATAATGTTTCTCCACCTGCAGCAAAATTCCTGGGGTGCTTTGTGAAGAATTCAGATTCGGGGGTTCCCCCATTCTAGGAAATCAGAATCTCTGGGGTGAGGCTCAGGCTCAGGATTTGATCAAGCATCCCAGTGATTTTTATGCAACTAAGAGCTTGAGGACCACTGTTTTCTAGGTTTTTCTCATCCTTGCATTGCGATGAGTAACAGTTGTTCCTATGACTCACCACTCAAGGATGAGCTGTGTAATCTTACCTGGTAGCCTTGACATTACTGATGTATTTGAAGGATGGAAAGAGAGCAAAGACTCATCCCCAAGGGATCACTCACTTTGCCACTAAGAATCTAGACTTACAGAGGAAGTGAGGTGTCCCTCAAGCTGAAGAAAGGGTATGTGGTGCTTTTACAAAAAAACGTAAATAAAGGCACTTTTTTGTCGTTTTAGTCACTAAGTTGTGTCCAACTCTTTTCAACCCCATGGACTACAGCCTGCCGGGCTCCTCTGTCCGTGGGATTTCCCAGATGAGAATATTGGCGTGAGTTGCCTTGCCTTACTCCAGGGGATTTTCCCAACTCAGAGATAGAGCCTGAGTCTCTTACATTCTCCTGCATTGGCAGGTGGAATATTTACTACTGTGCAACCTGGCAAGCAAATAAAAGACAAACTGGGAATGGAAATGAAAGAGTATCCAAGTCAAGTCAACATTCATTACCTCTCGGTGGCCTTTACAGAATTGTTCAGTTCAGGAAACCAGAAGGACAAAGGTTATCGCCTACATATGGCTTAACATTTTACAAAAGGAAAAAGAAAACTTCTGAGGTCTTTTCGTGACCTTCCCCTGACCTCTCTGCATACAAAGAGTGCCTCCGGGGAGCAACGTCTCCACAATCTCTGGGCTCTGAGCTGCCCTGAACCTTGAGGCTATGATCTGGGGCTGCTCAGCGGCTGTGGTTCCTGGCCTGGGGGGTGTCAGTACTGAACAGGGACCTGGCTTGCCCAAGACTGAGACATCCAAGTGCCCACACTCTTAAATGCCGCAAAATGGGAAGGCAGTCTCAGCCCTGGCAGATGACCCCGGGGCCGCAGTCACTGCGCTCCAGGACGGCAGTGCAGAAAGACGTGCCCGTCTCCCTCCTCTGACTCTCGGGACCATTGAGCTGAGGTTCCGGTTCCCTCCTGAACACCTTACTTGTCTGCTTGTTCCTTTCCAGAGTCTGCTGAACAGATGGCTAGGTCTCGGGGCTTTCAGAAGGCATCCAACTAAATGTGATTATAAACAGAGTAGGGTCCGTAAATGAGCACCTTCTCTCCGATTCTCTCTGTCACCAGGTCACTCTGTGCAGC